TACTCTTCAAGCTGTTCCACACAATAGAAGCAGAAGGGTCATTGCCAAACTCTTTTTCCAAAGCTACAATAACCATAGTACCCAAGCCACCCAAAAACACACTAACAAAGAGAACTACAGACCAATCTCTGTCATGAACATTGATGTAAAAATACTCAACAAAATACTGGCAAATCAAATCCAAGAACACATCAGAAAAGTGATGTATCATCATCAAGTAGGCTTCATCCCAGGCATGCAGGGATGGTTCAACATATGAAAATCCATCAATATAATTCACAATATAAACAATATAAAAAGAAAAACCACATGATCATCTCATTAAATGCTGAAAAAGCATTTGACAAAATCCAATACCCCTTCACAATGAAGGTCTTGGAGAGATCAGGAATAACAGGAGCATACCTAAATATAATTATGCAATATACAGGGAACCAAGAGCCAATATCAAACTAAATGGAGAGAAACTCAACGTGATTCCTCTAAAATCAGGAACAAGACTAGGCTGTCCACTCTCTCCATATCTCTTCAATATTGTACTCAACGTTCTAGCTAGAGAAATAAGACAACAAAAGGAGATCAAGGGGATACAAATTGGAAAGGAAGAAGTTAAAGTTTCGTGACCTGAAAAACTCTACCAGGGAACTCCTACAGCTGATAAATACCTTCAGCAAAGTAGCAGGATACAAGTTTAACTCAAAATATCAGTAGCTGTACTATACACAGATGATAAATGGGCTGAAAAATAAATCAGAGAAACATCACCCTTTACAATAGCCACAAACTGCATAAAATATCTTGAGGTAATGCTAAGCAAACAAGTGAAAGACCTGTATATCAAGAACTTTGTGTTTTTAAAGAACGAAATTAAAGAAGACACCACAAAATGGAATTATCTCCCATGTTCTTGGATAGGTGGTATCAACACAGTAAAAATGGCAATCTTGTCAAAAGCAATCATCAGATTCAATGCAATCCCCATCAAAATCCCAACACAATTCTTCACAGACCTTGGAAGAACAATACTCAACTTTATATGGAAAAACAAGAAACCCAGGCTAGCCAAAACATCCCTGTACAATAAAGGAACTGCTGGAGGCATGGCCGTCCCTGACTTCAAACTCTATCATATAGGTATAGTCTTGAACACAGCTTGGTATTGACACAAAAATAGACAGGTAGACCAAAGTAATTGAATTGAAAACCCTGATATTAACCCACAGACCTACTCTGATTTTTGGCAAAGAAGCTAAAATTATACAATGGAAAAAAGAAAGCATCTTCAACAAATGGTGCTGGAATACCTGGATACTGACATGTAGAAGACTGCAGATAGATCCATGTCTATCACCATGCACAAAACTTAAGTCCAAATGGATCAAAGACCTCAACATCCAGCCACACTAAATCTCTTAGAAGAGAAAGCAGGAGGTACCCTTGAATGAACTGGTACAGGGGACTGCTTCCTGAACATTTCAGCAGTAGCACAGACACTGAGGTAGACAATTAATAAATGGGATCTCCTGTAACTGAGACACTTCTGTGAGGCAAAGGACACAGTGAATAAGCCCACAGAACAGGAAAAGATCTTCACCAATCCCACTTCTGACAGAGGGTTGATTTCCAAAATATACAATGAACTTAACAAATAAGCCACCAAAATACCCAACAACCCAATATAAAATGTAGTACAGTACTAAATAGAGAATTCTCAATAGAAGAATCTAAAATGGCTGAAAGACACTTAAGAAAGTGACCAACATCCTTAGCTATCAGGGAAATAAACTCAAAGCAACTTTGAAATTTCATCTTACACTGACCAAATGACTAAAATAAAAAACACCAGTGACAGTCTATGATGGAGAGGATGTGGAGAAAGAGGAGCAATCCTCCATTGCTGGTGGGAGTGCAATCTTGAATGACCACTTTGGTAATCAGTATGGTGCTTTCTGGGGAAAATGGGAATCAGTATACCTCAAGATCCAGCAATTCCACTCTTGGGCATATACCCAAAGAATGCACATTCATACAACAAAGACATCTGTTCCACTATGTTCATAGCAGCGTTGTTTGTAATAGCCAGAACCTGGAAGCAACCTAGATGCCCCTCTATGGAAGAATAGATGGAGAAAATGTGGTACATTTACACATTGGAGTATTATTCAACAGAAAAACAATGAAATCTTGAAATTCGCAGGCAAATGAATAGAACTGGAAGAAAACATCCTGAGTGAGAACACTCAATTACAGAAAGACAAATGCGGCATGTAGCCACTCATATTTAGATATTAGACATAGAGCAATGGACAACCAGCTTACAATCCACACCACCAGAGAAACTAGAGAACAAGGAGGAATCCGAGAGAAGAACATATGATCCCCTGAAGAAGAGGAGGGGGACAAGAACCCTTGAGCAAACTGGGAGCATGGGCGGGGGAGAGGAGGGATGGTGAGGGGTGGAGAAGGGGAAAGGGTGGAGAACAGGAAGGATCAGGAGGACTGAGATAGGGGAAGAATATAGGAGGGCAAGAAAGGAGATGTCTTGGTAGAGGGAGCCAATATAGGTTTGGAGTGAGGTCTGGTACTAGGGCAATGTTCAGGGATCCACAGGGATGACCCCAACTAAGAATCTAGGCAGTGAAGGAGAAGCTGCCTTTAATGCCCCTCCCCTATAATGAGATTGATGACTACCTTGGTTGCCATTCTGAGAGCCTTCATCCAGTAGCTGATTGAAGCAGAATCAGGCACCCACAGCTAAAAACTGAGCCATACTCCTGGAATTCAGTTGTGGAGAGGCAGGAAGGATGAGTAAAGGAGCCAAGACCGTGGTGGAGAAACCCACATAAACAGTTGACCTAACCTAGTGAGAGCATGGAGACCCTAGTCGTAAAGCTGGGGAACGAGCATTGGACCTAACCAAGCCCTCTGAATGGGGGTGCCAGCTGGGAGGCCTCGGCAGTCTATGAGTCCTCTAACAGTGGAGCCAGTGTTTATCTCTAGAAAACAAATGGACTTTGGGAGTCCATTCCCTATTGCGGCCCAGATACATGAAGAGGGCCTAGGCCCTCCCCCAAATGATGTGACACTTTGATGGCTGCCTGTGGAGGGCCTCACTATCTTTGGGGAGGAGGTGGGGGTGGGTTGTGAGGGTCAGTGGGAAGCATGGGAGCATGGGAGGGTGAGGAAATGGGAGGATTGATATGTAAAATAAGATTGCTTCTAAAATAAAAAATATATATAAAAAAGAAGGACTATGTGATGTAGATATGCTAACAAAAAGATGCTTCTTGAAGAATCTGATCACTGAATGAAACAGAAATAAATTTGTGATGAGGTATTTCTAAGTCTCAGGATCTTGGGAATCTTCTTTATAATGTAGTGCAAGAATGTAATATCATGGTTATCTGTTCATGAGCCAAGTTGGTGGGAATGAGCTTGAGTATTAAAGTCCCCGAAGTCACCTCACTGAAGTCTAATTATAATCTGCCAAAAGGGACTGAGGCTTGGTCACTACTGTCCAAAAGGCAAGAAGTATGTTTCAGATATCAGTGTAGCCTGAGTGGTTCTTTCAGTCTTAATCTGCATTAGTCATCCTCTCAATTAATGTCCTTCAATGAAGTACAAATAAAATTTTATAAATCTACCTCTTTACATGATTGAACCTGGCCTTGTGTGTGTGTGTGTGTGTGTGTGTGTGTGTGTGTGTGTGTGTGTGTATGGTCAGTGAGCCTGAGGGATCCTCCCATCTCTGCCTTCCCAGCCTTAGGATTAGCAGCACACAGCACCATACTATATTTTCTATGGATGCTGGGGGCACGAACTCAGGTCTTCAAGCTGGTAGAGAAAGCTCTTTTCTGAGGTACCCTATCCCAAGTCCTGTGCCCTGGATTTTTCTCTTTCAGTCAAACCATAAGCTCATTTTCTGCTCTCCTTTTCAGCCCTTACCTGTGCTAATGTCCCCGCCTTATACATTCTTGACCCCAACTTACCCAGTTAAATTTGAGGGAATCATAGGTTAGAAGACAGATCAGGCACCAGAGTGACCTCGAGTGATCTAAAGGGATAACACCAATTGGCAAGCTAAGCAATAGTGGAGAGACCACCTCGAATGCCCATTCCTGATAATGAACTTGATGTCTATAACCATCTGGGAGCCTTCATCCTGTGACTGATGGAAGCAGAGGCAAACACACAATTAATCACTGAACTGAACCCAAGGAACCCAGTGACAGAGAGAGAGGAGTGATGAGCAAATCGGCAAAGAATGGGCTGGCAAAACCAGCAGAGACAGCTGATCTGAACAGGGGAGAGCTCTTGGACCCCAGACTGACAGCAGGGAGGCCTTGGGACTGATCTGGACTCCCCAAATGTGAGTGTCAGCGAGAAGGCCTGGGCAACCTATGGGGCCCTGAGCTGTAGATCAGTGTCTATCCCTGGAATACAAACAGTCATCATGTGCCCATAGCATAAAGAGGGATGCTCTCTCAGCCTGGACTCTTAGGGAAGTGCCTGGACCCTACCCAGAGTGAAATGACAGACTCTAGATATCCCCTGTGTGGAAGGATTTGGCAATAGGGTGGGAGGGTGGGGGGGAAAGGGGAGTGCGGGAGGAGGGGAGGGAGAGGGAACTGGGATTGACATGTAAAACAAGCTATTTAAAATTAAAATAAAAATGATAAGAAAAAATTTGCTCTTGGTAAAGGCTTCTTGCCCTTTGATATGCTTAGGCCTTTGTTTATTTGTGCTCTCTGGACCTGGTAGATGCTCTCCATAGCTGTCAGCGCTGCACATCAGTCAGTGTCCCTACTGATTGGTGATTATTTTCTTCCAAGTTGGTCTGATAAAGGCTCTTGCTCTCTGTATTCAAGGAATATTTATCAAATACACAAGTGGGTGGAAATATCTTGTGCATTCTCTTTTTGGAAAAAAAAATGTTGAAGCTGAGTGTGCTTGCTGTTCTGTCCTCTGAATGTGCGTATTTCCTCCTAGCAATGGTAGAATTTCAGACAAGACAAATACACCCAGCCTCCCAAAGTCTTCCCAAACCGAAATATAGATGGAAGCAAAGGTGGTATTTTCTTCCTCAGAACGCAAGCAGCTGTGAGCTGAAACAAAGTAAGATGATGAGAGAGAAGGTAAGCATTATGATTAAATTATGGGGATTTCTAAGAATCTGTCAGTCAGACGGGTTGAGGAGGAATGGAACAAAAGGAAGGAGGACATAATAGAACCGTGTGTTCTGCCGAGAAAAGGGAGAGGGAAAGCGTCAGTGCGCCACTGCTGTGGGTGTTCTGGAGTCGGACCAAATATGTCACAGCTGTTTCATTTTAGAAGAGCGCCTTTCTGGATTTGCTCATTGCTTTTGCACTGATGGAAGCAGCGTCAGGAATTTGTAAGGCACAACAAATGCATGTGAGATTCGGAGCTTGATGCATATGGACCCCGGGTCACCATTTCCTTGTTCTTTGAATCTCAGACAAGTTACTTAAGTCTGTTGTAGTCTTCCATAAAATAGGAATAATGAAAACACTTACCTCATTGTATTATTGCAGAAAGCCAGTGAGATGATTCCGGAAAGGGTTGGCTCACTACCCAACCCAGCAATGGCTGGATGACTATCCGCTGGCATTATGGTTAGTAGTGATTGGTAGTTATCTCTCTAACCTGGGTGCTTTGCTCGCAGATAACTCAATCTATGTAGGTGCTAGAGCAGCTGCTAGGAATCTTGTGCGTTGATATATTATCCTAACGGTACTAATTCTCTGAGGGGGATTTAAAGACCATGCTTCCAGAGAATAAACCATTATCTGGACACTATCAGCCTTTTCTTTTCCTTCTTCCGTCTGTCTAAGCTGGTCTCCTCCTCCTAGTCTGTTGAGAAAGAGACTGAAAGAGGTGTATTGAAAGAGCATCATAGACTACTGACCGTGGTATACTGAGGCTTACCTGAACATTCCCAGGTATGTTTGCAAGGGAATATTCAGACAAAGGGTATTGACATTATCTAGCACACATAAGACTAAAAGCAATACTCAAGCAACAGGAGTCTACTGGAAGTGTTCCAACCAATATATATTCCAAGCCAACGCAAACCTATCAAATGTGATCTTCCAACAAGTAGGAGCAGCCCAAGTGAAGGGCAAGCCCCTCCTGGAATGGTGATAATTGTTGAGAGATCAAAGTTACTGGTATGAAACACAGCTGGCAACTCCATAAAGGGAATAGGTCCATAAAGGGAATGTGCTCTTTTGCCTAAAGCAGTGCAGCTAACTAGTCAGAGGTGCAACTGGCTGCTAACACACCTGGTATAGTAGAAGTTCGACAGCTGTCTCTCCTATGATGTATTTCCTCAACTCAACTAATAGATGTTTTCTATTTTTGTGTGTTTTTGGTGTGTGTGTGTGTGTTTGTGCGTGTGGGGTGGGGGGTGTGTTTGTGTTGTATACATTGCTTGGAATGGAACCCAGGGCCTCAGGCTTATCAGATAGAGTGGAACTAACCCCCAGCCCTTCTGCCTGGCCTTGTCAGTCTCCCATTACTGACAATCAATGGGCACTCCTTTAAGGTAAAGTCAACCATCATTTGCTCCTAGCACAGACACTAGAATATCCTGTAAATATATTATTTTGTCTTTAATTTAGGAAAGGTAAAGATCCACACAATATTTTGTTGCAATTGTGAGTCTAAAATGAGAAACAAAACAAAAAGGCGAAATACCACTTTTGCCTGGTTACTTGGATATCAGGCAATTATCACATGATTACTCAGACTGGTAATGAAATTAAGATAAAGTTTCATCAAAATAGCATATGTAATTTTGCAGTCGAAGCAGAACTGGTATAAATATGAGCAGATGTGTCTGCCTCTCTTTGATTTATAAATACAGAAACATTGTTCCCATTTGGGGAGAAAAATCATTCTTTACTCTGAATGTTAGAAGAGTGTAGCTCAGAATCCTGGAAGTTAACAGCGACGGTGGGATGTCACAGCCAGGGGGATTCTGTATTTCCTGTAACTTCCAGGCAGATGATCTTAATCTGGGGGACCCACTGTGTTTCTACAGCAGCTGTATGCACTGGAAGGTTGAGATAAGATGGTAAAATACATGTCAAGACGAACACACAAACTTGCTTAGGCAGGCATCATGCTGGTTTTTCTTTCCTAGGAAATAAAGGAAAGCATTCTGGCCGAAGGGCTGCATCAGTGGTAAGCGCAGTGCAAGTGTGGGTACCTAAGTGTGAAATCCCAGAAGCCATGCACAGCAGGCACAGCCGACATCTGTAATCACAGCCATCCAACAATGAGATGGAGGCAAAAAAGAAAACCCCAGGACGTATGCTGACCAGATAGCAAGGTGCACACAGCGCTGACAACAAGTTATTCTGTCTCAAACAAGCTGGAAAATGAGGACAGACACCTGTTGTCAAGTGCCTTCTACATGTGCAAGCATATACACACACATCACAAACACATACACACACACCACATACACACATACAGACCACACACACCATATACATACAGCACACACATACACACACATGCACCACATATACATGTACACACACCATACACAGTAAAAAAAAATTATTTAACTGAAGAAAACACCATTCTATGTTTTGAGTGTAACATCCTAGCTGGCTCCTGCCTCCAACTTTGTTGCACATAAACACAACTTTGTACAGGATGAATAACACATCCAGCACCATGTTCTGCCATTTCCTCGCCATAACAGTGTTTTCACTTAGGAGTGTTAACTGGCTTCTGCTATAAACCTCTTTCTTCACCAGAGTCTCAGGAGAAAGCCAGGCAAAGAAAGGCTGTAAGATCTTCCAGAGCAGTCAGGCAGAACCTGCCACTCTGAAAAGTGAACCTGGAGCATCCTGTCGTTGTCAAGAGCCCCTGGTGGCAATTCCCTTCTCTACTGCAGGATGTGGGTGTTATGATGGGGCTGGTTGATACAGATGGAAGCTCAGAGCAGAGGACCCACTACTGGAGGCTCACCTTCACCCACCCCCATCCCCACTGAGCCTCCTTCAGTTCCCTCTTGAACATGAATTTGGCAGGAGACCAGAGCAGTTGAGTCATCCTTGGGGAGTTTTTCTCACCACATCCACGAGTGGAAAAATACCCAGGACTCCAAGCAGTCCCAAACACCTCAGTGGAGGACTAGAGTGAGGGGGTGGCAGGGACTGCTTCCGTGTCTCCATACTTCAAATAAACGAGTGTCCTTTCCTTGGCTGTGAGTGAAGTTAAGGGGACATAAGTCATGGTAGTTTGACATTAGGCTGCAGCGAATTAGCATAGGAGCCTGGAATTCATCTTCATCTTGCTGAGGAACCATTCTTCATTACCCAGGTCACCCATCCCTGTGCCTGCTCTTTCTTACTTCTTTGCAATCAGAGTGATCCTTCAACACATACACAGACAATGCTACTCTGTCACAACCTTCCTTTCTCATTTAGCACAGGAGCCAGAGTCTTCACACAATCCTGCTGAGCCCTCACAGTGTACCTGTAGACCTTCCTAGCACCCCCCTCACAGTGTGCTCTTGGCATTCTGTGGTCTTTTTCTGTCCCCATCTCTGTCCCTTTCCCTCGACCGCATAGATGTCCTTGCTCTTCCTTAGCCAACATCACAGCTTGGTTTCTTACCCAGGGCCTTTGCACTAACTACTGCCTAAGCCTAGAACACTCCTTATCTCTTCAGTTTTTCATATCTTTGTTTAAATGTCACATTCTCACGAGAGTATTTCCTGGCCACCCTATGTTAAATTCAACTCAATGTCCACCAGTTCTCTTTCTGTAATTCCAGATCCATTGCAATCTGACTACCTATCCATCAGCGTATCATCTGTCTTTGCTTCCTAGTTCTAGAAACAATTAGACTCAAAAGAATTCAAATCAAATAAATATTCATTATACCACTCTGTGATTGATCTTCAAAGACATGGGGAATAGAGTGTCAGGGTTACGAGAGAAACAATTGCTATTCCATGTTCTAATGTATTGCCAGCATGCCTTTCTGGTGATATGTCTTTATCTGTGGATTCATGGATAGGGAGTTATAACATATTTATTTATGTTAGGAGTGCTCCTAAGTGAGAAACTGTATAGTGAGTCCAGGCAACAGCTATAAGTCAACTATGTTTGTTTTAGATATTTTAGCTGAATGACAGTAAGAATATAGGCAGGTATGTGAATATAGGCAAGATATTTAATATTACTTTGTGAAACCTTTCATACATAATGGAAAACCAAGGCTGGGACATTGAAAATCACTTACTGCAATACATTTGGCAAGTAGAGACCAACCAGAACTCAGACTAAAGCACACCAACACTAACACTGTGTTCCTCCTACTCTTCTGCCCAGTGTCCTGAAGGACAGAAACCTTTTCGAGCTGAAAATTAACATACAATACTCCTCTGGGTCCCTGTTTCCTTGACCATATAATCAATGTGTGTTCCATCCCAATTAAGGACATCTGTTCTTGAAGCGTTACTGAAACTCCTCCCTTTTATCTTATGAGATGTACTATGGAGGGAGACCTGCTAAAAGAAATGCACCATACCTTTTTTTCCTATTAAGTATAGTCTTCTGCAATATTGCTTTTAAATTCTTCATTTTCTTAATTAGTTTTGGATGCTATGCTGTCTTACTGTCAGAAGAGTAGTGGTGTACAATAGACAATAGAGAGGTTTCCTGGAACACTATGGCAAGCCAAGTCCTTTCATTGCTTCCTTTGGTGCAGTAATTAAGGACTTGGGCTCCAGCGAGTTATATCTTTTAATATTCTTTATGACTTGATGACTTTGGAGTTCTTGTGTGAAACTAAGAATCAAGAAAGCATATTTGCTACACTGGAAGGGGATTCTGGCACAGAATTTGTATAAGCAGTATGTGTATATCATTTTGTAACTATTGGGCCAATCTTTGACTAAAGGGTATGTAGATTATTTTATTCCTTCTCTAGTTACCATCTATAGCTATCACATTAACATTTCAAGAATAACTCTGAAGAGAGAATCCTGGGGTCCTTGGACAAACATTTCCCAAGGATGTGAAAAACAGGAGAGTTTCACCTTAATTAGCCTCCCTACTCTCCTCTGTACACAAGTATCCTTTAGTTAAACTTTTTCAGAAAATGAACTAGCTATAATTTATAACTATTCTTGGGTATTTGGTTTCATCTTCTTAATAAACATTATAAGTATTCAGACAAACCAATCTACACTTACACAAAGATAACAGTCATAGCGCAGACTCTGCCTTCTTGGGCCTCTAACAGTAACCCTCTTTGTGCCCCTGTGGCTGGTAAGTACATGGACTAACATACTGTTGTTAGTCTCTTCTGTCAAGGATCAAGATGCTTGACCACCCTCCAACCCTGAAACTGTGGATCTCTTCCTTATCACAGTGAAGAGGAAATCCTCAAAGTGAGCACATTCCATAACAAAATAACTGGGCTTATGAAGTATGATCTTTGAGGGCAAGGGAGAGTGGTAGAGCTTGCATCAAGTGTGAGACTCTCTGAAGGCCATGTACTCAGTTAGGAAACAAATACTGGGGCTTGGGATATCTGTTCTCCAGAACGTGCACACAAAGCTGTGTGTGTTTGCTTATTTCAATGAAAGCAGGATGAAATGCAGAGACAAGTAGTTCCCTGGGAGCTTGCTAACCAGCTATCTAGCCTGTGGGAGAAGTTTAAAACAAATGAGAGACTCCATCTCAAGTAAAATGTTGTAAGGTACCTGATAAGTAACACCCAAGGTTGTCCTCTGACCTCTGTGTGCATATGAGGCATACCTGCACACAAATACCTACATATACATAATTCCCTGTGGTTCTTAGTTTATAATTTTGAAATGGTATTTCGGAGCCAAATATACTCAGACTCTATGCCATTTAACAGACATTTTGATAACTTTAGTTACTTCAGGAATAAAAGAAGCAGAGCTCAGCGTTTCAGTCAATAGCTTTGGCAAACACAATAAACCTAGGAGTCAGGAATCAATTGTGCAAAGTTAATTGATTCTCATTTGACTGTAACACACCTCTGTTTAAATATATTTGTTCAAATTACACCTTCTGTAACTGTGCCAAATAAGTGAGTCACTGTTCTGAAAGTTACTTGGAAATCACAGGCAGTAAATTTTTTTAGGAAAATGGATGTAACTGGAGACAAATTAAGTGAGTAACACCAGTCTCAGAAAGACAAATATTATAAGTTTGCTCTTATTTGTTGTTTGTAGATTGTATATATTATAATCATAATATGTATTATTATCTATATTATGGTGTGCATGCTTAAAAATAAACATAATGTTCACTATTGGCAGTGCTCCTTGACAGTAAAGTCAAGTCAATTTTCTTTCCTATTCATTACAAACTTCTGGTCTTAATGTTTAGCTATACTAGTAATATAATGCTGGTCATCAGGTGTGGCATCTCTACCTAGTCTTGGTACTTGGGAAGTGGAATTAGGAGGATCAGGAGTTCAAGGGTAGCCTTGATTGAAGAGTAAGTTTTAGGTGAGCCTGGGTGAGCCTATCTTAAAACAAGAAGTCAAAATTAAATAAATACACTCCTGTTAATACATGGATCTTACCCAAATAGCATCTTAAGACACACACACACACACACACACACACACACACACACACACACATTATAAGAGTGTATATGTCTTTTACTACCACATCCTTAGTCAGTTCTATGTCTATGGGCCTCTGCTACCATGCTGATCTGTGCCGAAGAGATGAGCTGGAAGACAAGGCTGTCAAAAAGAAACAAAGGGAAGCAGAAGGACGCTGAGCTGCTATAAGCAAAGGCCACGGGAAAGTTCCTTTGGTTGTAGGTGGAACTAGGAAACCTGGGAAATCTCCTGGCCTCTTTTGGATGTCTAGACTGAAACACACATGTCTGAGATATAAAACTAACATCCACAAATGAGAGAAAGCTGATGTTTGTGTTTCTAGGTTTGGGTTGCCTCACTTAGAATGATTTTTTTATACTATTCATTGACTTCGAATTTTATGGTTTTGCTTTTCATGAGAGCTACATTATAGTGCGATTTGGACAAAGACTGAAGTCTTGACTGGTCCAGAAAGTGATGGCTAATTCTAGTTCATCAGTATTGAAAAACCTTTCAACTCTTATGCTTTCACAGGTAGCATGAATTGTGTACTGGCCACATTGAGAGGCAATGCTTTGTTGGTCTTATACTTCAAGTTAAAACCTAAAAACTTCTCCAGCTTTGAAAGCAACATAAATAGACTTTGAAATGACTGCCCTCATCTGTTAAGTCCCATGCCTGAAGAAGCTGATGTCCTCTCATCGTGTAATACTAAATTTGTACAATAAAGTATAAATCTGGAATAAAAGAGTGAAATTAGATTCCATTGTATAAGTATGCCATATTTTCATTATCTACTCATCAACTGATGGACACATAGGCTGTTTGTGTTACCTGGCTATTGTGAATAGAGAAGTTGAATGCATCTCTCAAACCTCAGCAGAGAAGCTTCTATTTGTGGTAACTAACACAGAGACCCACAATTGGCCAGCGTGCAGAGAAAGAGACTGCAGCAATGCACATTCCTAAATGAGAAATCACTGTCAGAACCCATCCTTCTCCTGCATTCTTTCTCCATTGCAGAAGGGGGAGTAGAAAGACTTTAAGTCAGAATCAGCCAATGAATCCAAGAAAACAGTGTCCTATAGACACAATAGGGAGCTATACAAATGAGTTCACAGAAGTTGCAATGACATGCAGAAGACCAGTGCAAGCTCAGTCCAGACCTAACTCCAACATAGAAAGGAGGTGACCATGAAGTACACCCATAGCTGAGGTGCTATCCACAATTGTTAGTACTGGGAAAGGGAAAATCAGTTTTCTCTAACCATATTGCTCCTGATAACTTGACATTACCACATATCTAAGAATATATAGGCAGTACAAATTAGAATTGATGGATAGAAAAGCAAAAACAAAACAAACAAACAAAAACAAAGTTGAATGGGTAGGAAAAGGATGTGGATCTTGGAGGGAGTTAGGGGAAGGGATTAGTAAAACCAAAATTAACTGTATGCAATTCTCAAATAATTAATTAAAAATTAAGAAGAAAGTCTGTTGAAAAGCAAGCTGTTCCTTGTGTCTGAGATGGTGGTGAATTTTTCCATTCCTATTTAAACATCTGTTATTTCCTATCATAGCATCTTTAGCCACCTATAGCTTGAATGAATGTTGTCTTAAAGCAAACTATAGCAAGCATCTATAAAGATATGTGTGTACATGTATGATACATGTGTGTGATATATATGTATACATGTATAGACATCCCAGTTTCTATAGGTCAAGAATATGGACATGATCTTGCCAGCCACCCTTGGCTGAGGGTAGCTGCAGACTAGAGTCCAGCCATGTCTCTGAGCTGCAGTCATCACAGAGCTGAACTGAAGCTGATAGAGCCACACTCAAGCTCATTCATAGGGTTAATGGGATGGTGGTGATGGTGGCTCATATATTTACAGTGTGTGAACATCCACCACTTACCAGGAGCTATCTCCTACTGCTCATAGGACAGCCAGCTTTTATGACAGAAATGTAATCCTAGAAAAGACATCCAATTTCTCTGCCACACTCTATCCTAAGAAGTTCATTTGGTTCAGCCTGCACTTGAAGGCAGAGTATTATACAGATGGGAACACGGGGTATGGTCGAGATTGGGTCACCAGGGGACACTTTACTACAGTATATATGTAGACATACCTTGTGTGCACTGCTCCATTGTAGCTGAACCAAACCCTTGCAACCCTGAGGGTTTTCTGCAACCAAAGCAGTGAGACAGGCTCACAGAGAGGACACACAGGCTTAAGAGCAGCTCAGTGAGTGGAGGTTGGGAGAAGGATCTGCAGCGCCTCCTAGTATCACTGGGAAATGTGCTGTGGCTGCCCACATGGCTGCCTGATTGTGGATGACAGCCATGTTGGCTGTCTCCATGGCTGTATCTCACTCTGGCTCTTCTTTGCTGCTTACTGAGTTCAGATCACTATATTCAATGCTAATCTTTGTCTCAGAACTGCCTATAAAAGGGCTAAAAGCTAAACACTTCTCATTTATTCCAGCAGCACCAGTAGCAACTTCACACCTGAAGGACTTGACAGGACTTAACACTGCACACCAACATGTTAAAGAGTCAGTTTCTGCCTTTCATTGGCTGCTTTAAGGTAAGGAAAGAATGGGGAGAAATAAGATTTTTGTTTACATTTATTTTTTGCTGGTTTATGAGTGTTTTTACCTGTGCACCATGTATGTTCACCAAATGCATGACTTGTGCCCTGAGAGGTCAGAAGAGGGTACTGGATCCCATGGAACTACAGGCACAAATAGTTTTGAGCTGACACATTTGTGCTAGAGACCAATCCTCTGCAAAAGCAACCAGTACTCCTTTGCAGCCAAGTCATCACTCCAGCCCAAGAATGGAAACTTTAAATTATTGTCACTCCTCTTGTTGACTGTAGGCTTAGGAGAAAAGCCTGGAGACTTATGTTTTACATTAGCTTGTAGTTCTAACTTCGTGGACTAGCTAACTACTGATCCACAGACTGTCTCGAGCATGCATGTTTCTGTGTTCATAAGTGTCTTTATATTTCATAACATGTCTTTTGAGAGTGTGAAAGAAATATATGTAGTATGAGCCAAAAAGAAAAAAAGACACTAGACCCAAAGAAGGCAAAATATCTATACAAAAGAATTCAAATAAAATAAAAAATTGACGTTTGTAGTTGTTATCTTTTAGATTTTTGTACTGTGTGTCGAATTTTGATATCGAACTTGCTATGTAGCCCACACTGACCTAGAATTCACAATCCTCTCAGGTGCTGAGATTATATGCAGTTGCCACCATAGCTCTGAAATTTTCTGTTTTGCTTAAGGAATAATTTAATAACCCAAGTTTCTATGTGTAGACTCAGCTGGGGCCAATTCTTTCCCCACTGAATGATACTGGGAAGAAAGTGATCAAGGCTACCATTAGGACAGCCCTGTCCAGCCCTTCTGCTGACTCTACTAAGTGAGAACTGGGACATGATACTTTCTGGAATATTCCTCAGTTCTGGGAGGAAGAAACTGAGCTTCAGATCTCACACCCATGCTGAGGATATCCACAAGAAGTGGTCTCACTTGGATGCTCACAATAAGAGCAATTTTTGAGATCTCTCAGGATTTGTAGTTGTCTCTTAGAAACTAGATTCATGACAGACAGCCCTAGAGTAGGAGTTCCTCTAATCTGTAAAATTGTCCAAGATTATCCCCAAATGCCTAGAAGCATTGGGTTTATAGACTAAAATAAAAATAAATGACTATAAAGTCTCTCAACAACTGCAGTACTGCAACCTCCTTCCGGCAGAGTACAAGAGGGGATTTCCACAGAGAAAAAAGGCGATCATATGGGTTCATTGTGGAACAGCCTGAGTCTGCTTTCATATACTTGCTGACTCAAAATGGCTGAAAGAGTTTCCCCTTGAGTGGAGAAGGAGTGAGACATTTGTTTGAAGAGAGCAGCTGTTGGATGTGGCAAGCCTCAGCTATTATGAAATTGCTTTTCAGCCTGTACTCAGTGTTGTTACAAAAGGCTCATGCATCTGTAGAGCCTGTCCGAGTCATTCAGGACTGTTCCACCTTCTCCACAAAGCATTTCAAACATTGAAAAAGCAGCAAAAGAAAAAAAGAGGAAGTTACTCAGAGCTCCTCCGAGAAAGGTGACAGCCCCATTATAGGAACAGCATGGTCTTTGAAACTAGAAAAATGTGGCTTAGAAACACAACTGGGCTACACTCATACCCCTAGAGATTTCATATTCGATGCAATTTTCTGAGTCTGTTTCCTTGTCTGTGAAATGAAGAGGTCTAGTTCTTAGGATTGATGATTCATTAATAACGTGCATAGAAGCTGTCTCTCTGGGTCTTACTATATCATCAATGACTCTAAATGCCATACTGTGTGGGGCCAGTCATACCTTACAGATAGACCTGTCACTTGACTGGCTGTATTGAAAATGAATTAAAATGCAGGGTGGCTTATGGAAGAAGTGGCCCCACCTTCAAAAATATCTGATGTCTTTTTTTAAATCTTGTCGTGTGGTTATGCTTGGTGTGTGTGTGTGTGTGTGTGTGTGTGTGTGTGTGTGTGTGTGTGTGTGCAATTACACAGGTACCACAGTGTGTGGAGGTTAGAGGTGCTATGCAGGTTCTTACCTTCCACTTTGTCAGAGACAGGGTGTTTTTAGCTGCTCAGTGCAGCGTGCCTCAGGCTACCCGGCCAGTGAGGGAATTCTGTCTCCATCTCGAAGCATACTGAGGAGCACTGGGAATGTAGACAAGCACTGCCATGCCCAGCTTCAATGTAAGTTCTGGGGAACTGAACTCAGGTCCAGGTCCTCACACTTACACAGTGAGCACCTTACTCATTGAGCTATCTCCTCAGCCCAAATGTCTGACTTTTACATAATGGACATTAGCAAACATGGATGTGCTTCACATAATAAGTCGGTATTAAATCCTGGGGGCTTAGAGTTACTCCTTTGTCATTCCTCTTGGTTCTAATGAAGTTAGCTGAGGATAATTCTGAGGAATCATACTACTTTTCTTCTCAGACCATAGGGACCCAAAGGTTTGTGCTCTATTTTTCTGAGTTGGGATAAGGTTAAGGCCTAAGCTTAGCAAGAGCCACAGGCACTAGTAGTGAAATGGGAAGGTGAGATTCTCTATATGATATACCCAATTGTTCTGAACAGCTGGAAAAGGGAAATTCTCATTCCATGGGAAAATTGTCGGTAATTGGGTTCTGATTCTGGGTCAGCTAGATTATGTGTGCCCTCAATTTTCATTTTATTATTTTATTTTATATCTTTTTTTATTACACATATTTATACTGGGCATCTTTTGCTTATAACCCTAAGATTGATGACCAACACTAGGATGAAAATAAAGATGCTACATAATATTTATCAAGCACTTAGCATATATTAGATATTAACCAACTACCTAAGAACTAGGAACTGAGGTCAATTTTATTTTGTAGATAAAAAATGAGGCAAAAATGTTTGAGAGAAGAGTGGCTGTGTGCAGATCTAACAAGTGGCAGGGCCAGAATTTGAACTCATTTCTGCCTGACTTTAGGGTTTGTGCACATGACCTCCATGTTAGCACTACTGAAATGGAATGAATACCTGTACAAAATGTTTAGGAATGATCTGGAATCCCACATATTTATTCAGGATGTCTTCATCCTTTGTCATGATGCCTAACTCTGGTTTTCTTTACCTGGAGTGGTGTTCAGAGGAGCCCTGAACTAACAGATTTATAGTGTTGATGACTGTGAGATTCTGTGCCCACAGAAGAGGGGAAGCAGTCTGGTCAAAGGCTACCTTAGGGCTCCCATCTGTGAATAAGGAAAAACCAGGTGGGAGGAAGGAGGCAGAATTTTTATTGGAGTATGTGGGCACCTCATTGAATTTTAGTGGTTTTAAGAGCACTTGCTTTGCATTATTTGGATTAATTGAAAAAAATGGTTGAGGCTCCTTGGAGTTGACTCATCCCCGCAATCCTAATATAGATGAATTGAGTTCCGTTTGGTTGACTGTCTGTACCAAGTTTCTCAGTGTTGGCTGACAGCCTCAGGAAGATCTGTTCATTTTTACAACGTTTTGGTGAGTCATTCACACACACTCTGGGCATTGGCTTCCGGAAAGGAAGGGAGGAGGAATGAAGTTCTCCAGGGAGAGTGAAGAAAGTAGAAGTTCACTGGTCAACTGGAGCCTTTAGAGAATTTTATCTACAGCGATCTGGGGCTCAGGTTCTTGCTTTCAGTCCTGAGCTCTATGTTGGTTAACAGAGGAATAATACTAATAGCACAGTGCCCAGGAATCAAAGAAAATGGTGCTTGGTTTGTTTAAAGCGAACCCAGGCACAAAGTCTTGGAAAGTCACTTGTTGGTCCCCAAAGCAGAATCAACTTCTATGGCTATAAATTCTAGTTCTGTCTTACATTTTCAGGCTTTGGAACCCTTGTCTTCTCATAGGACATTTCCTCTTCTTTAAATGTGCCTTTCCTGTGCCTTAGTACAAGTTAGATATCATGTGTTCAATGTGTCTAGTGCATGGCAGTCACTCAACTGGGCACTGAGTGTGGCTCTCAGGCTGAGAGACATGATACTGGTTATGGTATGCCTGCCATTCACAGGTTGATGGAATTGGGTAAGCTAGACTGTTCCACTCCCTGTTGTTCTGTCTGTGAAATGGAAGGACAATACTCTATAACATTATTATGAGATTAAGGGCTGCAGTATTAGTTATGGTGATTGCTGTAAGCAATTATTGACATTTTTAATTTAGCTAGGCACTTCTTCATACACACATAACATATTTAGTGTCGTTAGGGTTAGGGTTAGGGTTAGGGTTACGGTTAGGGTTAGGGTTAGGGTTAGGGTAGATGTGACCCAGTGTCAGGTGCCAGCAGCTCACTATCCCCAGCAGGCCACTGAAGCCTGTGACCCAGTGCCAGGTGACAGCATCTCACTGTCCCCAGCAGGCCACTGAAGCCTGTGACCCAGTGTCAGGTGCCAGCAGCTCACTGTCCCCAGCAGGCCACTGCAGCCTGTGACCCAGCGTCAGGTGACAACATATCACTGTCCCCAGCAGGCCACTGAAGCCTGTGACCCAGTGCCAGGTGCCAGCAGCTCACTTGATCCCAGCAGGCCACTGTAGCTGTGACCCAGTGTCAGGTGCCAGCAGCTCACTGTCCCCAGCAGGCCACTGTAGCTGTGACTCAGTGCCAGGTGACAGCAGCTCACTTGATCCCAGCAGGCCACTGTAGCTGTGACCCAGTGTCAGGTGCCAGCAGCTCACTTGTTCGAATTCAGGGTGTGTCTTTCCATCTTAGTTAACAGAGGGCCTAGAGCCTTGTCTCCCAAGCTATACTGTATCCTACTAAGTTGGACACAAATTTTAACCATCACAGACACTTTTTGCTTTCTTAACAAGGTGTCTGGGCTGTGGATTTTCATAAGCATCTTCTAAGGGTATATATCCCACCTCCCTTGTGTAAGACAGAAATGCTTTCTTTAAGAGACCATTTTCCCAGAAGTCATTTCAGATTTTCCCCTGGCTCTCACTGGTCAGATCTTGGTCACATGACTATTTGTAGACAATGGCCAAGGATAATGGGAT